GGCTGAGTTAATGTTTACAGTGGATGGGAATGGGATGATGGGAGGAATTTGCCTGGATACAGTGCTGCTGAAACGGGGTGAGTGACTTCACTGTGTCTGGTTTCAAAGTCTCATTTCGCTTATACCAGAACCTGTCGCCCCATCTGGGAAGCCGTTTGCTGGACCAGCTTTCCATGGATAGGAAAAAGATCATTTAGCAAGTGCTGAAATGGGATTCCCAAATGGCTGAGAAAAATCTTTAGTTCCTCAGTGTCCAGCTGCTCCAGGCCATCTCCTTCTCCCACAACCTGTGAGTTGTTCATGCCAGAAAATCTGCATCTTCTTCCCGATCTGGTCCACCAGGTCAAATCCGTTCATCGCTCAACGTCCTAGCCTTAAAAAGGAAAATCCTCCTGTCTGAGCAATTCCCCAACCAGAGATGGCTACCAGTGTTTGAAGTGAGGAAATAGGACCTGGAAACCTTGCACACTACTTCTTTTTTAATGACTAGGTTTCCTTGATAGCGCAAAATTTCATGCAGTCTAATATGGTGTGTGTAATGCATTGCCGTAGTGTTATTTATTGAGGGGATAAAATAAATACTGAAACTGAACACTGGGTTAAGCCCCAAATAAAGGAAAATTCAGGCTGTTTCAAAACAAACAATGTCTCAACATAAAAGACTTTACCTGAATGATCTGGCAAGTCAGTCTAGGTGACAGCGCTGCCACACGCCTTCCCTTCCCACTTGTTCTGGCTCTGCGTTTGAAAAACAGAAAGAAATGTGTAGCGACTGGTAGGAGATGGTGTGGTCCTGGGGAGAAGCAGAGCCCGTGTCCTTACACATCTATCAGAGAGTGGAGCAGGAGAGCGGAGGGTAGCACAGCGCTGTACAGCTGCAGGGCTGCTCACAACAGGGCAGAGCTCGCGGAGAATGTGCTCTTTGTTCCCTGCCTTTAAAGGGTAAGAGAAACACTTATGCATGGCAAATTAGCCCAAAAATGTATTTCTCTAAAACACCCGATTGTCTGGCCAGCTCTGCAGCTGCAGGGAAGTTCCAGGGAGAGAAGGGGGAGGCGGCGGGAAGGAGAAGGAGGGAGGCAGGGAAGGAGGATTTTGATGGCTGGGGGGGGGGGGGGGGGGGGGAAGGCAAGATGATTGTGCGAATGAGGGAGAAATTCTCAAGCCTCGATTCAAACAGAGCAGGCCAGTGAGTGAGGGGACCCCTGACGGAGGGGCCACGTCGGTGGCCAGGGGACCACGGATGCTGTGCGGTCTCCTGGGGGGGGGGGGGGTAGGGAGAAGAGGGGGGGCAGGAGGCAGCTGGGCTCCGGCCAGGGCGGGAGCGGGCACTGGCGCAGGCGGCGGTGCCGGGGAGCCCTGCCGCCCGGCAGGTTCAGCTGTGCCATCTGGGCCGGGACGCTCCGCGAGCGGTGCCATGCTCCTCTAGTCGCCGTGTTGCACGTCCCCGAGGGCAACGAGCTGTGACTCCTCGCCCTGAGCAAAACGCACAGGGTGCGACTCTGTGCAGAGGTGCAGGGCCTGGGCTCTTCCCAAGAGGTGGCACTTGGGTTTAAGACGTCCCAAATGTACCTCTTGATTAGGAACTTGATTTGGGCTGGTTATGAATCTCCAGCCTAATGCTGACACCCTTTTAAAATCTCCCCAGACCCTTGCTGGCAGACGGGTGATTCCTTGAACTTCCCTGGGTTTTGGAAAGCAAAACCCAACAGTATGGTTCCTGACAACTGCTCGGACTGTGAAGTTCATGGTGAGTGACACAGTCCTGCCCCTGCCCCAAGGGATGCCACTGAAAGCAGAGTCAGGCCCACCCTGAGCACAGCGGAGACCTCAGTGTCCGAGGAGCGTCTCCCACGCTGTCTGGGATGAGATGTCCTCTTCGTGTGCATGATGAGAATTTGCTTTCTCTCCCATTATCTGCTGACGTGGAAGGACAGGTGCTCCCCGCTGCAAACTACAGTGCTTTGCAGGCACAGACTTTAGGCAACCTGACTCACCCTCGTTACTACTGACCGAATGCTCTTGGGGACATCTGTGGTGTGATCCAGATGCTGCTCTCCGGGGAAGCAGCTCAGCTTTGCCTTTGAGGACGCTCAGGGGTGCACTTGCCTGCTATAAATCCAGGTTCCAGGACTCTCTCCTTTCTGTGACATGACAGGACCTACTCTGGGCAGACAAGAACATCTCCTTCAAAGCCACCAGTGCCACCTACTGTGAGGGCAGATGAGATTGGTAGGTACCCTTAGGTTAGGCAAAACTTAGGCTGACCATGAGAGAAAAAGAGAGACATGAGAGTCGCAGAGGGGATTTGGCTTCGATACATTTCTGTGACTGTCCAGCTCTGGTGTAGGGGTGATGTTGCCACTGGGTTCAAGTTGGCACAGGCAAACTGTATTCTGTTTCCAGGTTGCTGTTAAATTCACTGGTAACCAGATTTTTCCAAGGAAAACCCTATAACTCTTCGGAATTGTAATCCAGAAGTCCTATGAAGTCCCCTCTCACTGGACTGGAGGAAGGGAAGGGCAGGTGGACCTTGATGTTTTATCTGGACACATAGTGATACTGACTGCTGGTGAGAATTATTCATTCTTTCTTTTTAGAGCTTACAGGAAGATGCTTTGGTTGACAATGGGTATGGAGGTTCCTGCTGGATATGGAGAAGTATCTGACTGGTGGAAGCCAGAATTAGGTTTTAGTATTTCCTACAGTAGAGAAGCTGATCAGACTTGTGTTGGAGAAGGAGCGTGATGGGCAGAGGAGGAGGTGGGGAGCTGAACCACTCTTGAAATGAGGGGTTGGGAAGCTGTTGACAGCTGCATAATACTGTTGTCATTACCTGGCTCACCTCTATGCAGCCACTGGGATGGCTCACCCTCTCGTTTTACATTTATGTGGGAGAAGAGGGTACGAATAATGTTAGCTTTAATCAAGCCAGCAATATTTCTCAGCTTTGACACACTTCATTTTCCACTCAGGTGAAAAGGGGTCCCTCTGCGTGCATTGCCACGCATCCCTGTGGTAAGGGAGAGTCTGTCCCATCGCCTCCTCTCCTCCCTTCCCTTCCACTTCTCCTCCAGCTTCAGACCTTCACAGCCCTGCCACCCAGCTCCTCATATGTCCCTTTAGAAACACCCTGAGCAGCAGCTGCACGAACGTGTGACCACGTTGCATGAGTTTAAGCCTCCGCTTTTTTAAGGCCACAGAGCTACAGGTGGGCTTCACGCCTGACCTTCGGGGAGAGGGTGGCCCTGCCATGAGTCACGAGATCACCTGCGGCAAAGGGGGGGCGCGGGGAAACCAAGAATCCAGGCACACTCCAGCACTTTGTGGAGACCCTGAGACCTCGCAGGGATGGCAGGGCTGTGGCATCATCTGACAGTGGGAACGACTGGTGTTGGGGGAGCATTTATTGCTAAATAATTTCCCAAGAAATGGGACTTCAGGGGAATTAGACCAGTTGCAGATCCAGACCTAATTCAACAAGCACTTTTGGCTGGAAAACGAGTGTGGGAGGGGGATTTTTAAAACATCAAAACATTTCATTTCAAGACAATCTTCCTGAATTATTCTCTTTTCTAAATGCCAAAATGTTGTGAATGGACATTTTCAAAGGGAATTTCTGACATTTCATTTCAAACCAGCATTTTGCATTTAAAACTTGACCCAGGTTGAAAGATGAGAGGTCAGACACAGGAGCCCAATAACCACAAAATAAAACCTGCTATTTCAACTTCAGCAGAATGTTTCGACCTTTGAGTTATGCCATTTGAAAACAAACGGAAAAATCACAGCAGAGCTCCTGTGCGTGTCCAGATCATTGCACCCCTACGCGACACCTCTGACGCAGGAGACATCGGGGCAGAAACGGCTGGTGTGGTTGGGATAAAACCAGCCAGGTAGTGGCCTAAGATGAACTGGAGAAAGCCCTTGAGCATCCCCCAACAGATTTTTACTCCTATCTCAATTAAATTTCAACCTGATCTCAATAAGGCTGTTTATGGTGGGATGGGCACCTCTTAGGAACGCTCACATCTGTTCAGCTCCGTGGGTAGCAACAGGCAGAGCAATGAGGAGCGAAGCCCCCGTGGCTGTGGCAGTTTCACCGGTGCTGTCATCTAGCTTCAGGCAAAGTGGCGACCAAAGTGCCGTCGTATTCCAGCACTGTCCCGCTGATCCTGATGAAAACCACTGGAGCTCCCCATGGGTATGTGTCCATAGGCAGCTCCAGGGGAAAAAATGCAAACGTAAGCAAGGTCTGGGTGCAAGAAAATCAGTGCTAGTTTGGGAAGGGGCCTTGGTACTTCTCGTAACGGGTGGGTAGGTTGGGGGACAATGATCAAGCGGGGTGAAGGACAATGCCAGTGCTTTGAGATGCTGTGCCCCACAACTGCCTCTTCTATACAAAGGCAGGTTGAGACTCGAGGGACGTGAAGAATAGCCTTCCTCCCCCTTCCCCGCCAGCCCCTCGCTCCCGCCGCCCCATCCTCTCCGCCACGCGCACGTGGTCCCCGCTGGCCATGAATAGAGTTGGCACGGGTGGGCCCAGCCCGAGCCACTGGGGCTCATGCGTCCCGACCTGAATAAGCAACATAAAGGCACAGAGCAGCCCCGTCGTGGTTCCGTCGCGACCCATCCTCCCCAGCTGCGACAGCATCCGCTGCAGGCCCAGACCGACCATTCTTACCACGTCCTTCTGTGCCGTTTGTCTTTCTCTCCTGCTCTCGTCTCCCCCTGCCTCTTTTTTTTTTTTTTTTTTTTTTAATTTTTTTTTTTTATTTAATCCCCTTTTTTCGAACATATCATTACAGGAACAACAAAAAAGATGGGACAATACAGCCATTGATGAACTGCTCTCGTCCTCCTGTCCCAATCCCCCCCCACTCCCTCCCTCCCCTCCTCTGGTGCGTGCCAACACTCTTTCCACCCGCCCAGGGCTGGAGCCAGCGCCAAACAACCTCTGCTAATAAACAAGAGGAACCAGATAAACCAGGAACACAATAGAGGGATTTGTTGCACTTTAGTGATGGTGGGAACAATGTCAACTTCGTGGCGCAGCTGCGTGGACCCCCTCCCATACTCTCCCCCCACCGCCTCGCGCCCCCTGCGCACTTGCAGCCCAACACTGTGATTTATGAAAGGCCAAAGGTCACCGTGCATTAAAAGGCTCCTTTCTTGCATCATTTATTAACCCCTCTATGACAAGGCGTGCTCATTGTGGAGGTGGTGGTGGCGATGGTACAGGGAGTGGGAAGGGGGCGGGAGGAGTCCGTGCTGGCGGCCCCGCACGTCTCTTGGAGGATGCTGAGATGCAGAGCTAGTGCTTAAGCCTGGTTTTGCACTGACCTGGGGTGTGTGTGGAGGAGGGGGAGCTTTGGTGAGAGGCGTTTTGGCCAGCAAATGCAACTCGTGCACTCCAGCACGGCTCCGTTCACATTTCTCGGCCCGCACTCACGGCCAGGCTGGTGAGCTTAGATCACGGTCCGTGCTGCGGCCGTGCACGCACCTAGGGCTGACCCGAAGGGTTGCCCTCAAGACCCCACGGTCCGTATGGTACGACTGACCGTGTTGCATCACCAGAGCCCTGGGTCACCTTGTGCTACCAGGTGTGGTCTAATGGGCCTCCCGGGATGCAGCCCGGGCAGGGAGCCGTGCGACAGGATGGACCTCTCCAAGGTCTCCTTCCCAGGCTAGTAGAGATGTGGCCAAAATCTCTCCTTGTCCCACCGGGGCTGGTTGCCATGACAGGCAACACCTCAATGTCACCAAGCAGCACTTTCAAGCCTTCCTGTGTGGCCGTGAAACACCAACGTGATATTTCACTGTCTTGACCTCTTTCTCCTGAAACTGCAGTGACCACGTCAATTGGGGCAAGGTGATGCAGCAGCAAAGGCTTCAGCACGGAACTCTGTGGTCCCTTGAGCTACTGCCCCATGTCCCCGGCCATGCCTGAGAGCTCCCCGGAGACCCTGTCCATGGGCAAGCTTGCTTGGGAGGAAAAACCCCACAGCCATCACAGGCTGGGGGTGATGGGTGAGCCCTGGAAAAGGGGTGTCTGCCGGCGTTCACGTCCACCACGAGGGCAGCGGGGTTGTGCTGGCGCCTGGTTGCCTGGCCCGTCCCTCCTGGCTCAGCGGCGGGGAGGCTGCGGCGTTGACGGGTTGGGACATCTTCCCCCCCCCAACCCCGGGGACAAAGCGATGGGTAACAAGGGACAAGCCTAGGAGCTAGTGTGAGCCCTCAGGGTGAGCCCCTGCACAGGGCAGAGGGGACACGGAGGCTGGGGTGAAGGGGAAGACGGTCCTGCTGCCCAAATGCCGGTCGGTAACGCTGGTTACCAGCCAAACTGCTCCCGCCTCAGCTTTGGTGCCTCGGCCTCGGGCCGTGCTCCCTCGCTCGCTCTCCCTCACATTCCTCCGGGAGCTGATCAGGGCTTGAATGACACCCCAGATGACTCTTTGCTATTAATTCCTGTGAACAGAAAGGGCTCCTTGTTCTCCCAGTCCTACTCTCTGGAGGAATTACAGGGGCCAAGGCAGCAGGCTGAAGCCTTCCCGACTTAACCCTTCCCCCGGCTCCCCAGGAGCCTCCCTGCATCCAGAGGACTGGCAGAGGTGAAGATCACCCTGGAGCCCCCTCAGCCACCACTGAGCCCACTGGGGTCACCCAGCACTGCTACAACCACAGGTCCCATCGGGAGGGTCCCGTTTTCTAGTTGTTCTGCCAAATCTTGTACAATTCCCTTCCTCTCTGCTCCGGGCATCTGACTGAGAGCACCCAGCTCCTGCCATGACATCGCACTGGATATGTCAGAATCCATCCTAGAAAAGGCAAAACCGGTCCCCTTCTTCCCCAGATCCCCACCCCTTCAGCGGTTGTTTTTTGGGGTTTGCTTTTTGGAAGTACACTTGGCCTCTCCAGCAAGAGACGAGGGGGTTAATACACAGGGAGGCTCCGTGCCACCCATCAAAGCAGGTAGCAGACAGACATGCTTGCCCCGTTCCTCTTTGATCTTCCCAGACCCGAGTAATTCAGGAAAATTGTACCTTTTAGCCATCACAAGTCCTCGCCATGCCCATGAAACATTGGTCTGGCCAAGACAACGGGATGGGAGCTGCCTGGGGTCTTTGAAATGCTCAGAGGTGATTCTCCTCTCTCCTTTCCACGAGGATTTCCCTACACCTCCTCTCCAAAGCAGCTGGCACTGTAATCTACTGCTTTATAGCCAAAAACGCCGCTGAGCAAAGTCTCCTGCTCGGCCACACCAAGGCACACGCACACGCAGTGTGGTTTCCTGCACCTGCAGCAGCCCTCACTGCGCCTTGGTGAGGGGACGGGGCTTCTCCTGCTCCGGAGCTGGGTGGGACACTGTAACCATGCCCCAGACCCAATCCTCAAGGAGCTTCCTGAGGACTCCCATCCCATCCTGGGGTGATGGGAGCCCAGGGCCACGCACCGATCGGCATCACCCAGGCTGTGTCACCCATGGGGAACAATAATCCCGGAGGAGGGCAGCTACCGCAGTGTTTTGTTTTTGTTTTTGTTTTTTTTTTTTTGCTGCCCCATGCAGAATATTGCATTGACAGACAACCTAGTCAGGCAGTAAACAACTCCAGGCATCGCCCGCCTTTTGTTTCCACTGATACCCCATGACAAAAATTACTGCACACCCCCTGCAGCTAACTGCCCGGTAACCACAGGGATGTGGCGCGGTGCTGCCAAGACCCAGGCAGGGCTGCAGGCAGATCTTTGCTTTTCCTGAGTGACCCACACCACTTTCTTTTTCCTCGGGCTGCCTTGCAGGCAGCCAGTTCACCGATGCCTGTGACTGGAAGCAGAGAGGCATCTGGGAAGGTCTAGGACCGATATTGGGAGCTTCAGCCAAAACCGGCGGTGGGGTGATGAAGACCAAAGCCCAGCCGTGGTTCCCGTGCCCAGCTCCCTGTTGGGAGGATGCCTGCAGAACAAGGCAAATTGCAGCGCTCTTTGGATATTGTGGCCACCACAGAATCCTGGAGGGTGACACAAACGTGGGCTTTGGGGACCCTCTGCTTCTGTTCATGGAAAGGTCTTGAGAACAACCCGCTTGCTGGGAGCCTGGGAGGGCAGTCATGACATCGGATCAAGGAGGAATTTGTAGAGAAGGGCATGAGGAAGTGGTGGAGACAGGGCTGGGCTTGGGTGCTCCGGCAAAGGGTACGACCTGGTCCTGATCTCTCCCAGGCTGCCATCAATCACGTCCCATGATGTCTCACGAGTGAGACCAGCTGCAGACCCATAGATTTTCCAAGCGTTATGGTAGCCTCTCCTTTTGCTCCTCCCCACTTTTCCTCGGAGCATCACACTCAGGTGATCTTCAAATAAAAAGAGTAACCATTTGAAATCTTCCTATTTTTCCCAGTTCTTTCATGACTTCCTCTGTGGATGGTTCAGATGGTCACCTGGCCATCCCCGCACTAACCTCCGCTTCCCCCCAGGACTGAGTAAGCAGCTATTTTATGGTCATGGTGATGAGGCGTGATAGGGCCCTGTGGCATCTCCACACCAAAGAGGACAGGCAGTACTCACTGAGGATGTTGGATATACTATTTCTGACTGGGGCAGCAGAATGCCATCTCCAACCTTCCCACAACTGCCTTGGGTTGCCTGGTCCTCTCCCTTTCCCTTTCTCCCTCCTGGACCACCATGGGACTGATCATTCAGATCTCCCCACACTACAGCTTGGGCAGGGAGACGTCCCCCCTTCTGCCCCCCTCCTCTTCCTCACCAAGCCCTCCCCTCCAGCCACAGTGGGACCAGCAAGCCTCATGCTGACGAAGATGCAAATCCCACGTGGGAGCCAGGGAGGGTCGAGGGCTTGGCTTTGGCAGAGGAAACCTGGCTCCCCTCCCCAGTAGGCAGGGAGGGGGGAGACTTCTGCATCCCCCCTCCCCGGCACAATGTTGGGATGTTCGCCCCCCTCCTGTCCTTCCCACAGCGTCACGGGGTGGTGGTGGTGGGGGGACACACGGCCCGTGCAAACCCACACCTGGCAGGGACAAGAAGGGCAGCAGGGGCAAGACTCCCTCCCACCCTCAAACCCCAAACCTTGCCCCCCCCCCCCCCCCCCCCCCCCCAGCCTCCTCCTGCCCCTTATTGCCTCATGTGCCCACCTCCACAGGAAGGGGATTTTGCAGAGAGGCGCTGGCGCCCGCTCGTCCATCCCAGTGGCCGTCCCCATCCCGGCCACCGCCGCTGCCTCAGCTCCTCCTAGCCCGGGTCTCCTCTCCCGTCTTCGGGTCTGGAGCAAGCTGGACGCTCTTAAAAAGCTTTTTATGTGCGCGCGCGCGCGCGCGCGTGTGTGTGTGTGTGAGTGTGTGTTAATCACATGATTGTCGTTCACCTGTATCCCGAACAAAGACGGCGCACTGTTTAAGGCCCAAACAAGAAAGCCGGCAAGGGAAGGGGGGGGGGGGGGTGTGGGGTGTGTTGGGAACACTGAAGGGGCCGTTGAGAGAGCAGGCGCGCGCGGGAGAAAATCCTTATCAAACTCCCAATTCATGGGTCTCCCTTTCCCTCAGCACACTGTGGGTATTGTTTGGCTCGGGGGGGGGGGAGTGGGGGGTGTGCAGTGTGTGTGTGTGTGTGTGTGTGTGTGTGTGTGTATTTTTTTGAATGTCTGTGTCGTCCCCCCTCGCTCCCCGGCTCTGACGCTGTTTTACTGTATGGAAAGATTTCATGGGGAACCCCTCCCATTTTCCCAGGCAGTCCTGGGACAATACCAGTGCTGTGCCCCCGAGCTGGGCAGGGGACAAAAGCTGGCCCTGGCTCTCACACTGGGGATCCTGTCGCTTCTCTGCTGCGGACAGGCTCTCCCCTCTTACTCCTCCTTTGCCACGGGTGCAGGGGATGGGTGTTATCTAGCAAAATCCCTCCCCAGCAACCTCAGTGGTCTCACCTTGGTGGTGGAAGTGTCCCACCAACGTGGTCTCCTGCTTGAAACCCTACTGGGCAGGTGTCCCTGCCTGCCCTTGCGACAAGGCACCTTGCCTGCCAAGCACCCAGCCCAGAGCAGGGTGCCTTTCCCATCGCCCTTGGGAGCGATGCAGACGCAGGTGGGACATCTCCACTTCCAACCCACTCTTACCCCTTGCTCTCCCAACGTGGCTTTGCGGTGGAGAAGTGGCATCCTTCCACCTTCGCATATTGGGGACTGAGGACCAAAGGAAGCATTCACTGACAAGTCACAGGAAATTTGTGGCTTAGCAAGGTCTCCGGCTCATGAATTACCCTCACTGATAGATCCCTCACCCGCAAAGGACTGTTCCTTTTGGTGGACCTGGAGCATCTCATCCATTGAAATATATGCTGAAAAGAAGGGGTGGAAACCTGCTGTATGAGCTTTTCCCCACAGACCAGTCATTAGGAACACCTAAGACCACTTCTGCAATGGTAGCTGCTGTGGCCAGTGGTGGCTCTTGGAGGGTCCTTGTCTCTTAAAAGGGCTCCCAGGGGATATTGGAGTAAGAGACATGCCGCCCCAGTGATTCCTGAAACGGGGATGGTGTCTTCTCCTTCCCCTCTGCCTGTCTTCTCACCTCACCTGAATAGAAAGCGTCACACCTCTTCCTGCTGAAGTAGAGGCATATTTTCCAGAGCCGTCTCTCCTGCATCTACCTCTTCATAGCACAAGAGGTGACACATGGACAGAACAGACTTGGAAAAGGATATAGAAGCAGTCAGTGCCGTGAGAGGGGGCTGAAAACAGGGAAAAAGGCACTACAGGGAAAGAGGGTTCGGAAAGACGAGGCAGGACCAAAGGAGGCAAAAAGCAAGAACTGGAAAAAGGCAGAATAAAGGGGGAAAAACCCCTTCCCTGCCATTTATATGTGAGGAGACACTGAGGCTTCAGCTTGCAGGGGCTGTGTGGCCTGTACATGCTCCTTTGAGGCTGTCCCTGTCTGCAGCTGAGGCACCCACAGCTCTTCCAACAAGGCACGGACAGGACCTGGCTCCTGTCTGGCGGGCGGCAGCAGACCCTGGCAGGGATGGTCAGCGGCGGGACAAACATCGGTTACTGAGATCCCTTCTGGGTTTGATCCCTTTCTTGGCCCAGCTGGGAGCAGTGGGTCAGACACTCTTCTGCTCCCCCAGACCCTGCGGGGCATGCAGGAAGGTGGGAGCCCCACCACTTGCTGTCTTGCTGGGGTCCAGCACTTTTTCATTCTCCCTGCAGAGCTTGCCAAGAGGCTGCTGCATGTGGAGTACGAGCTGAGTGGGCTGTGAAGGTCCTCTCAGTGCCCTGCGGGCCTCCTTTGTCTCCTGATCGGGGATCAATTCCATCAAAGTGCTAGACTGACCCCCAGCCTCTTGCTCCCTACCCCTTGGTGACCATCACCCTGTATATCCTCTCTGGAGGGGAACAAGAAGTCCCTGTCCCATTGCCTCTTTCCCATGGAGTCCACAGGAACCAGCCACCCAAAGGGAGGGCAAATAAACACCCTTTTCTGGCCATTTTCTGTGGCAGTCTTCCTCCTTGCCCCAGGTTGGAGGTTGGCTGCAGCCAGGGGAACAAGCAGAGCAGTGTTTCTTGGCAGCGACTATCTCCCTGTGGGACAGGACACCAAACCTCCCCTCCCTCCAGTTATCCCACACCTCATACGCAGAGTCCCTGCAGCTCGAGGAGGACCATTGCTGGCCGGAGGAAGACACCAGGATCTTGGCAGCATCTCGACTTTGCATCCAGTGGGCCACGGACAACTTTGTACAAAGAAAATTTGCTCTGTTCATTTTCGCTGGTTATCTGTCTGCCAGACAGAGGGTGAGCTGCCAAACTGCCCCTGTCTGTGCTGCAAGACCCCTTCTCACAACAACCACAACGAGGATCTCTCTTGGTGAGATAACTCATCCCGTACTGGGACTCAAGGGTTACCAATCACTGCTTTGGTTGAGGCACCAGGGTCTCTGTGACGTTTTGCTAGGCTCTCCACTGGGTTTTCTCAGCATCCAAGACAAAAGCACCCACATTCCTTGCTTCCAAAGGGACAAAGACATCATGTGAAAAAGAGTATCTGAACCCATCTTTTTTTCTGGAGTACGTAATGCTGAAGAGAAGAAAGATAGGAGATGATCCCTTGAGAGTTTTTGTTTGAGGTGTACATGAGGCACCTGTAAGCGTGTCTGCCTGCTTGATGCCAGTGGCATCCAGCTGTTCCCCCTCCCAGCTCTGCTCAGACTTCTCGCTGGGCTCTGGTAAGGTTTTTCCAGCAGCCACCCTATGGTTTCAGAACTTTGCTTAGGCCAGGCAGCAGCAGACGTGCAGGGAAATGGCCCTATGCTGTCAGCCAGGTCTTCAAGGGCAGTGGCCAGCCCCACAGGTCTGTTCTCAGGTCTTTAGCTCAGGTACTCAGCACCATCCCTTGGGTTCCCTTACGCTTCATGTGATGCCAGACAGTGTTTTTGCTGGGCCTTTCTAACACAAAGTTTCTGGGGAGTGAATATCTGCTACAGGAGTTGAAAATGTTCTTGAAATCCCCTGAAGCTGGTTCTCTGGGTCACATACATTCCTCTCTCTGTATTTTCTGACTTAGCACTGAAGCATCTTCAGGCTGGCTCTGTAGCAAGGAGCTGGGACAGGAGCTAAGTTTATCTCATTGCTAACTCAGGAGGGCCTGGGAAGATCATCGGATTTTTCGTGAGTGATCTCTGATGGTTACAGGGTTTATGTTGGTCTATACCAGCCCCGGTGACAAAGACGACTGAAAAAGCCAACTACCAGAGGCATCTGGAAAGGAGAGTGATCTAGAAAATGGAAGCTGTGATGAAGAACCTCCTAACCCACTGAGTGCTGAGATCCTCTATGCGTCCCAGTGCACGAGCAGCAAGAAAGAGGGTAAGAGAACATGAGAGAGTCCTTCTTGTCAGGAGACCTCCCTTTCCTTTTGAAAGACCCCACATGTGCCTTCATGAGAAATTCAGCATGTGGGAGGAAGCAGACCCTGCTTGTCTTGGCAAGACCCTGCAGAGGTGAACATGTCGTGACGAGCCCATCCCTACGGTGCAACAGTCCTAAGAAGGTTCAGACTGGTACCCACTGTCCAGCAACACGGTATTTTCTGTGGACCTGGTGTCCTCCATCCTTGGGACATCCCTGACCTCCTGCATCCCCTTCCCCTCCCCGCAGACTCAGGTCTGAATGAGGATGCCCTTTTGGCAGCATCTTGACCCCTGGGTCCTGGGCCAACTTGTTGCAGCGCAGCGGGGTCCTTGTGAGACTCTGTGATGGGGACCAGGGACTCATTTGGCACGTGGGGGGAACACCAGACCTGCAGGAGCAACCGTGACAGCACGGGGAAGGAGGGGGATCCCAGTCCTGGGGTGCACACCCATCTTCCCCACCACCCCAAAACCACCCCCCCAGGGCTTGAATCCTCCAGCACCGTCGCTGGGGTGGCCACACTGCAGAGAGCAGCCCAACGCTGGCGGCTCTCGTGAAGGAGCTGGCACTGGGGGAAAGCGGGGAACGTGCCGGCGGCCGAGGTGGGGTGGGGGGCCGCCTGCATCCCCTCCCCACCGTCCCCGACCGACCGTGTTCTGGCTCTGAGGAGTGCTTGGCTCCACCTTCCGCCCTTCCCTCCCCCGGTGCTAAGCAGCAAAGCCAGATAGAGACATCCAGCCGGGGTATTAGTAAAAACCAAGCCTCCCTCTAGGAATGGCACTCGCCTGAGAGCTTCCCCGCGCCGCGCGCCCCGACGCCGCTGGGGCTGGGAGGGAGAACAGGGGGGCTATTGGGATACAAATCACAGCCCTTGCAGGATCTGCCCGGCACACCGGCCAGCAACGTAAGTTTCCCTACCTGAGCTCGCTCGCGCTTTTTTTCCCCTCTACTTTATTTTACTTTTTTTTTGATTTCCCCAGCAAGGGTCCTTGTCACCCTCTGAAACTGGAGGGATAGCAGCCCTTGCTCTGTGTTGGCTCTTTTTCAGCTAAGCCAGAGACAGAAGCATGCTTTTCTATCACTTCTTTTTTTCTTTTTTAATTTCTCTCTTCCGTTTATTTATTTATTTATTTATTTATTTTATTTATTTTTTTTATATTTCTGGATGGGGGGGGAATAGAGAGGCCTTTATTTTTAGAGTGTTTCTTTCTCCAATGGGGGAACTGCTGCACAGCGGCAGGGACTTTCAGAGGTGACTGGAGACAGAAGGAGAGAGGAGGAGTGTGTGGGGCAGGCAACCCAAATCCCTGGCTTGTCTCAAAGTTAAACTTGGTTTGTGTTTTTATCTGTATATACATATATATATATATATATGTATGAATGTGAATATGTATATGCAAAAATATAGAGACAGGTGTATGTGGGGGGGGATGCAATGTAGATGTATGTTAAGCCTGTGGTTTATGAGCTGGGAGAGGAGGGTGAGGGACGGGGTGTCCCTGCAGAGGCACTTTCCCACAGCTGGGATCAGGGTCTCTGTGTGCAGATCCAGGGCCCGGGCGGGTTCCTTGCCCGTCGGTGCCACCCGCTCAGCTTCCCTGGCAGCCGGGGTATAGGTGCCTTCTGATTTATCGATGCGGTGCCAGCTCTCCCCCTCCCACACCTCTCCCCCGCCGGGGGAACCGCGCTGGCATTTCACCACACATCTCTGAAAGAAAGGGACTCTTCCACACGCAAGTTTTGTGGCTTGTCCCACCATCCTGCCCCCCGTGGGGAGCTGCGCCTGGGCAGATCCATCCACGTCTCTCTCCTTTCAGGTCCCCAACCCCCTTATCCCTTTTGCCGCAGGCCCCTCCGCACATGTCAGCTCCAGACGATTGCAGAGATAGGGAGAGATATCCCAATTAATCAGGGGCCCCGACCCATCCCCACCCCCATCGATCACGGGTTTTGCGGTGTGCACGGCAATTGCTTTGCTTGCGCTTTTATCGAGCAGCCCCTGTCTCGTGGTCAGCTCTTCAGAGACCTCGGAGTCCCTTTCAGATTTGGTGGTTGCTTCTCCTTTTCTCTCTTTTTCCCCTCTTTCCTTTCTTTCCTTTGTTTTTGTCTTCCTCCCTCCCCTCCCCAGTGAGAAGAAGGACACTAAGAAGGAAGAGAGGCAGGGCTCGAGAGCAACGATGGCTGATGACCAAGACCTTTCAGAGGTGGAGATGAGCCCGGTGGGCTCTGAAGACCACCACTGCCTCTCGCCAGGACCTTCCATGGCGTCGGACAACTCCCCACATCTCGGCAGCTCCGGGAACGGGGAAATGGGGAAGGTCAAGAAGGAACAGCAAGACTCGGAGGCGGACGACGACAAGTTCCCGGTGTGCATCCGTGAGGCAGTCAGCCAGGTGCTGAGTGGCTATGACTGGACCCTGGTACCCATGCCCGTCCGGGTCAATGGAAGTAACAAGAGCAAACCCCACGTCAAGCGGCCCATGAACGCCTTCATGGTCTGGGCACAGGCTGCCCGGAGGAAATTGGCTGACCAGTACCCGCACCTCCACAACGCCGAGCTCAGTAAGACCTTGGGGAAGCTCTGGAGGTAAGAGCGGGCGGGCAGAGGGGGAGTGCGAGGGCTGAGGGCTGGAGGTGTCCTGGAGAGGACTGTGCGCTCATGTGGAAGGATGGAGACTTTGTGGAATGGAAGGGGGGTCCCCTGAGGGGACTTCCCTCCCCGCGCGGAGCCCCCTCACAGGAATCCCGGTCGGTGACTGGGGCAAGAGTGGTGGTTGGACGCAGTGGTGGCTTCATCAGCAGGGATCATCCCCATCCTGGGCGGCAGCCCTTTCCATGTGTTTCCCACTAACTTCCCCTGTTGTTCCTGGCCAGGACACTCTCGTCCTCTTCCTCTCCTGCTTGACTGCTGGAGGAGATCTTGTTTTCTTGGCTTACCCACTCTGTTGGGCCAAGCTGTGCGCTAGCAGGAACCGGGCTGAGCCCCATCCAACTTAACTCACTGGTGGCTCCCTCAAGTCCGTTTTGACCTTGGGTCCCAACACCAACAGGGGTTATTTTCCGCGCAGTGCGGCAGAGCAAGTGGGAAACCAAGTTAGGGCTGAGGAGGAAGGTCGGGGGAAGGGAGCCACGCGGTCGGAGCCCCGCACCCATCCTCCCCAGGACGGTCCCGGTTTTGGCAGGCCATGCAGGTGCAGTGAGATGGACAAGGAGAAAGCGCTAGAAAGCGGGGCTGAGGCTTACAGAAAGGAAGAGAGGTGCAACAGTCCCACCCTGAGCAGGCTCTCCTGCAGCATGCTGGCTCAAACCAGCCCCATCTCCCTTTGCACCCAGAGAGATGCCCCTCCCTCCTCACTGCCACACACACACACACGCTTGTCCTTCTGGCCCCACCAGTTTGTCGCACCCATTTTCACTTTGGCTTCGTGAAGATCCCTGGGTCCTTTACGTACCCTCCCCAACTCACTCCTCCTTCCTCCAGAAGACCGACGGGCTGCCCTGATTTATTGCAGCCAGCCCACGGGCGCGCAGAGGGCCGTTGTGCCCAAGCGAAGCATGTCAGGCTGGCCGTGCCACTTCTTTCCCACCAGATGGTCTCTGCTGATAACCCCATCAACCTGTTATAAACACTTTCTGCCACAAGTCCCCATCACCGTTCCCCCCCCCACCCCTCCCTCCTCGCTTGGCACCAACCAGCACAAACCAAGGCTCGTGCAAGTGGAACCTCCCATTCTCTCTCCTGCCCTGACAGCATTTTGTGGAGGAAACCCTCAACCTTGGGTGGGCCAAGAGACATTTTTCCAAGCAGAAGCAAAACACACCCCATCCAGCACCCGATGCCGAGGTCTCCTCCTGGCTTCAAGCCTCCTTGCTCACAAAGCACCAGGCCCCTGGGCATTAGCTTCTCCCTCTGTCAGCCCGTTTACCCCGATGTGTCAGTGTCTAGTGTAACCCCAGCAAAGGGATTTCTTTGGGAAGTCAAAGGCAGGGCATGACTGCGGGTGTCTCATCTGATGCTCTTTCCCGCTTTGTTCGCTGCTGCCTTGCTTTTCACAGCACTGGCTCCTGCCTGGGGCTCTGCTGCCAGCCTCTGGCCTGTGAAACTGTGCTAGAACTTGCGTGTGCGTGTAGGCGAAACCCACCTTTTTTTTTTGTTCCCAAAGCGTTATTTCAAAGTATCGTTCCTTTATGGCAAAACATTTCCGGCTTTTAGAGCAACGGCCTCCCTCTGGACGCTGCATTCCCCCTTGAAAGTATAGCGAAATGTAGTAAAACCCTCCGCAGATATTGCATTCAGAGCCCAGCGAGACACAGCCCTCAGCCCACGGCCGCATCCACGCACTCAGCTGCCACCCTGCTCCCGGGGCACAGCTCCCGCCGCTGGCTGCGTGGGACTGGGAGCAGGGGGGAACGATGCCGCCGGGAGATGGTCAAGATCCCCAGGGGTTTCTTAGGGCACCGTGCAGCCAGGGAGTGTGGGTCAGGCAGAGAAGCTTGTGGGATCGGGCCTGGGGTGATTGCGTGCTGCTGGGTTTGCAGCTGCTTTGCTTGGACACGTCTCCTCTCTTGAGTGTCCCTAGTGCAGGCTGTGGCTCTCCGAGCCGCAGCAGCCCCGCCGGGGACTGCACAGCAGAGTAAGCCGGGTTGCGGGTGCAGACGGTGCCTGGCCTGGGTAGGACCATGTGCGTGAGTCTTTCTGTGAGGCTGGGGGGAAATATCAGCCCACAGAACTCCCGGGGAGGTGGCCCAAAGGTCCCCAGGATAATAGCCCCAAGCCTCTCCTGCCAGCCATGGTACAGTTGGGTCTTCCTTCACTGAAGTTCCCACTGCCCTCATCTACACCCTGTCCCCAGGGTATAGCTCCTATGCATCAGCACAGCTGTGGGCAGCCTGGTTGTGCTCTGGATGGCTTCATCTCAAACATTTAATGAGGGCCCCGGGAAAAGGCCCTGGCTGTTCGCGTATCCCCACCCTTACAAGGCAGCCACCCCAACCCTACATCACTAGTTGCTTTGGAAAACGTGGGCGACATATTTCCACATGGGCTGCTCTGAGCTTACCCATGTAAAGGGCTTGTCAGGCAGGGAGACGAGCACCTGCGAGCACAAGAGATTGTCTGCAGACCACCACTAAAACCAAGCATGTCCCCAGTGATCCGCGCTGGGTGGGAACAGCAGAGGCTGGGAAAACTTCTTGAAAGGCAGCTAGCAGATTGAGCGATAACCCCAGTGCTGTCCCATGCACTCCTCTGCAAAATAGGCTGCAATGGCCCAGGCTTTTTTTTTTTTTTTAAGGCCGGCATTTGCTCCAGCTCTCTGTCACTGCTATATCGCTCACGGGTCCCAGCCCTCATTGGGAGGGGTGGCAGGACATGCCCCAGCAGCCACACTACCCATCTGGCCCCAAATACGGTGCTGGGGGGCTTATGGCCTCATCCACCTCCCCCAGTCTGTACCCACTTAGGGTGCATGAGGGGTACAGTTGATGAATTGAATGTACAAAAAAAGAAGGGAGTGTTTCTGTGCTTGACGGTCATGGAATCCTACCTTGGCTGCTTTCCTTCCCTGGGGTGGGACGGGGAGCAGCTCTCAAATGGAGGCCAGCGGCTGAAAATGTCAGTATGACTCTCAGCCAAAATGCCAGCCAGCACCACCTCCAGGGCTGAAAACAAGCAAGGCACGGGAATAAGGGGAGGAAGGCTCGGCAGAAGAGAAGCGAGGGGACCCAGTGGAGGGACCTTTGCATGGGGGGTGGCAGCACCCAGTGAACAGGGTCATGCCCACGAAATCCTGGGCCGTGGAGGTGTAGGAGCGCCCGCCTTGGCTGCCTTCTGCTCCCAGCCAACCCTTGCCGTGCATCGGCCCCGATGCCCAACCCTACCACCCCACTGACTCATCGGCAGCTGAGTCCCGGCACAGGGTCAGGCCTCTGGCCGCCGAGCCGGTGGCCTGGCACGCAGCGCGGTGCAGTGCCGGGCGGCAGAAGGGGAGGCTGCAAGAGGCGGGCAGAAAGATTTGAGCCCTTCTTTCTCCTCCCAGCGTGGGGCGCTGGATGCTTGCCCCTGTCCCCTTGGCTTGGGGGTGAGCATTCGGTGTCGGGGAGGGTGGCGAGGGCTCGGTTAAGCCCCATGAATGGCTTTGCTCTGTGATCCATAACTTCTCTGCCCGTGCGAGATTCCTTTGCATTATGGCCTGGGAAGCGTGGGGGGCAGGAGGGGGAGGGCAGGAAGCAAGTGAAATCCAAATCCCCCCAAATCTCCTGGCCTTTGCCTGCTCGCACCAGTTTCACTTTGCTAAAGCCGATTTGAGCTCTGGTCCCAGCAGGAGGGAGGAGGGCGCAGGCAGCGCAAGAAAGGAAAAGGCAAAGACACGGGGAGTGGACTTGCTGCTGTCCTGCTGGTGGCACTGCCCGTGGGCTGCTGTCAAGGGGAGAAGAGGTGAGGCACTCGGGCATCGCTCAGAGGGCAGGGATTTGACTCCTGCATAGCCTCAAGCAGCTCTGCTTCACATCATCCACAAGACGGATCTGGGAGGCTGAGCTTTGGTCTCCATGGGAGGCTCTGCTCTGAGTTTGCCACGCAGTCCGCCCCGCAGATCAAAGCTGGCTGTGCAGCCTACAGCCCCCTCGCTCCAAAAGGTGCCTGCGTAGGAAGAGACATTTCATTCCCAACCACAGCATCTTACTAGTTTTAGCACCATCTGGGCTGGGAGTGCAGGGATGCTGGAGCCTGGCTGCCTTGTAGTGAAGTGTCCCGGGTTGCAAGGCTGCAGTTTTTGCCTCTATTCTCCATCTCCCATGGAGATGGGGCGTTCTGCAAGGCTGCAGATTTTGCCAAGCAAGGTCGCTTCACAGTCCATGAAGTCTACAAACGTTGGCCATGATGTCCCTTTGGACCGCTCGGAGAGCCATCTGGAGCAGTGCAGGCTGAGGGATTAGAGCCCTCCGGGACGTGTGAGTGTGGTGTATGGTGGCGGGAGGGAGACAGGAAAGCTGGTGTTGGATTCACGGTGGCTCAGTTGCTTTAATCTCCGGGATTAAGGCAGTGGAGGAATGTGGTGTGCGGCTGCGACCTGCTCAGGCTGCCTGGAGTGAACCCAGCTCAGCACTGTAACGGGCTCCAGCCTGTGCCACGCACCTTCTGGCTGCCGGCCGAGGGGATGCACAAGGAGCAGGGGGAAAAGGGGTGCTTAGGAACCAACCCATTACTTGCTGGTGACCCCTTTGATCCCCTGACAGGTTTATCTGTGTGCTTCTTGAACCATGCCTCCTCTTTGTCTTCAGTTTTTCAGGCCAGTTCAGGCCTCTCTATGTTCCTCAGTGCTTACAGCATAATACAATTGGTTGCATTTCAGTGCTGAGGGTTTCAGAAGCACCAAGGTGCTGGCACAGCCCCATTCCCAGGTAGTTCCTTTGTTGGGGAGAAAAAGGCACGGGCATCTCCTAAACAGAGTAATTTTTGCCATTTGGGAGCCCTAACATTTCTAACAGCTCTTGGAGTTGCAAGTCATGGAAAGACTGGTCCTTTCTGAGAGCGCTGGTTTCTGGTTGGAAACAGGATAACCTTGAGTCACAGGAGTATTTGAGGGGAAAAATCGTAAAATGAAACTGAAGTGCTTCCAGCCGAAACACTGCTAAAGGCTTGAGCAATGAGGCTGATCTCATCTTCAAGTGCTCTCAGCCATCCTGCCTGTACATTTCACCATTTTCTCAGAGAGCCTATCTTAACTAGAGCAGCCCGTGATCTGGCAAGAATACAGAGAAGGAGCTTGCATTTCTGCAGTGCCTTTCATCCAGAGACCAAAACTCATCTATTTCTACAAGGCTAGCAACGTGGCAGCTGAATTTTTTACAGCTCCTTGGCTAAGTTCAAGAAGGGCTGGTCCTTTGTGCTTCAGCCTCTTGCATTATCCATGTCTAAGGTGAGCAGGAGCACCAGGAATAGTGGAACACACTGTTTTCCCCCCTTTGAAATTTTCTTTAATTTCCTTCTAGAATACTGCAAGATGCTTAAAGGCCCAGCAAGCTCCACACAGCAACATGGGTACTGGTGGAGTCAACAGCAATTGCTGCCATTTGTGCTCAGTAAAGCCTCAAACTTGGAGCAGAGCCTATGGAAGGGCGGGAGGTTAAACTGGACTAATACAGTCTGGGGAACAGTAGGAGACATGTGGAAGACAGCACTATAGGTACCAAGAGTGTCACACACTGCTTGAGTCTGAAGGATGATCCCAACTGCCCCTAATTTGCCCGAAGTCTTTGAAGGCAGTTTGTCCAGCCTTACTTTACACGTCTATGAAAGGCTGTGCTTTGCCTTTGGGCAATGTAAGAGAGGGTGTTGAACTTACTGAGGTGAGAAGCATCACACAGCAGGGGAAGAGGGACCCAGTGCTGGCACCAGCCAGTGTCAGGGCTCAATAATTAATGAGGAGGAGGAAAACATTGTTGTCTCCACTGAAACACTTCCAAGCTCTCCCTGTTGTTCTGGGAGATACCCTCAATAAGGCAACACCCGACATCTGGATTTACATGCTGTATCCCAAGATGCTGTGTTTAGGTGTGGTTTTGTTTGGTTGGTTGTTTTTTTTTTTTCTGACATACCTGCCCCTCTCTTTCCCCTCTTCTCTTCTTTACCGCCTTGGCCTCTGCAGGCTGTTGAACGAAAGCGACAAGCGGCCCTTTATCGAAGAGGCGGAGCGGCTGAGGATGCAGCACAAGAAGGATCATCCCGACTACAAGTACCAGCCCCGCCGGCGGAAAAATGGCAAGGCCACTCAGGGCGAGGGCGAAGGCCAGGTGGAGGGGGATGCTGGCAGCGCTGCCGCCATCCAGGCCCACTACAAGAACGCCCACCTCGATCACAGGCATCCCGGCGAAGGGTCGCCCATGTCCGATGGTCATCCAGAACACTCTTCAGGTGAGTCCCAGGTCTCTGTGAACGTACTGACAAGTTACAGCCGACTTGGAGGCGCAAAAAGGACAAGTCATCACGGTGAAACCCTTAGCGATGTGGTTCACACCTTGCTCATGACCCGACGAGTTCTGCTGCAGTCAGCAGGATAGGGACGCGCCTGAGTTTCATTGGCACTTGCATTCCTCTGGTCAGGCAAGGTATTGTTGCATCCTCCCTCTTTTGCCACGAGATGATATAAAAAGGTTTAGGTTTTGGCTGGCTATTTCTTCCTCCACCGAAGCTTCCAGCCGGCCAGTTGCTGACATGCTGGGAGGAGCAGAGCTGGGCTTTGTATAAAGCCAGGCATAGAGCGGTAACTTACCTCTTCTCTCTCTTTCCTCCTCAAAATATTTTTCACATTGCAGGTCAGAGCCACGGGCCCCCCACACCTCCTACCACCCCTAAGACCGAGCTGCAGGCAGGCAAAGCCGACTCCAAACGAGAAGGGCGTTCTCTGGGGGAAGGGGGAAAGCCACACATTGACTTTGGCAATGTGGACATTGGGGAGATCAGCCATGAAGTGATGTCCAACATGGAGACCTTTGATGTCAATGAATTCGACCAATACCTGCCGCCCAACGGACACGCCGGCCACCCAGGCCATGTTGGGGGGTACGCGGCAGCGGCGGCTGCTGGCTACGGCCTCGGGAGCGCGCTGGCTGCAGCCAGCGGACACTCTGCCTGGATCTCCAAGCAGCACGGAGTCTCCTTGTCCACTGCCACCTCATCGGTGGTGGACTCCAAGGCCCAGGTGAAAACGGAGGGGTCCGCCCCTGGAGGTCATTACACTGACCAGCCCTCCACCTCCCAGATAGCTTACACATCCCTGAGCCTGCCCCACTACGGTTCGGCCTTCCCCTCCATCTCCAGGCCACAGTTTGACTACCCGGACCACCAGCCCTCGGGACCCTACTACAGCCATTCCACCCAAGCCTCCGGCCTCTACTCTGCCTTCTCCTATATGGGACCTTCCCAACGTCCCCTTTACACTGCCATCTCTGACCCTGCACCCTCCGTGCCACAGTCCCACAGCCCCACACATTGGGAACAGCCCGTGTATACGACTCTCTCCAGACCGTAGGGAATGGGGAATGGTGACCGAAGCAGCGACGGAAAGGCTCCGAAGAATCAGCACAGGCAGAAGAGCCTCCGAACTCCGAGGTCACTCAGTGCCGTCCAGCCACCAGAACACACTGAGTATACAGAAGTGCCTTTCTTGACCCCGGCTATCGCTGGCTCACCCGCCTAGAGGAAGGTTTTTCGTCCTTTCGCCCTTTACCAATTTCACGCAGGCCACGTCACTGGCTTGCAACACCTTATTGGCCTTCTAGATGAGGAGGATTCTCGACATGGAGTGACTGGTCCGTGGTGGGTTTCGTTGTGCGCACCCTGGACCGTATGATGAGAGAGACTGTCCTTTCCTTCCCCTCCCCAGACTGCTCCAGGGAGTAGTTAGCGAGTGTTTCCAACAGGCCACAATGGCCAACACTTTGTCACCTGCTGCGGGTGAAGGGTGGTTGCTCAGCCTTGGTGAAGACGTTGTGGGAGGAGTAGTAGGGAAGACGGCACGGCCAGCCTCCTCGCGATCAGCGTCGTGCAGCACTCCTGCCTGAGATTCACACATGCATGAATCTTGAACCCCACTGGAAGACCAACCTACGCTTGCTTCCCTGCTGACTTCCACAGCTGCGTCCTTGCTTTCCTCCCCGCCTCTTCCCTCCATCCCGTCTCTGTTTAATCCCACACTCTTTCCTGCATGGAGATTTTAAGGCTTGCCTGAACAACGCGTAGGGCTCAGGAACCACATTGTTGGTCTTAGTGTTACTCATATCCCAGCCTGTGTGCGCATGCGTGTTCATGTATGGAGGTGTGGGAGAGGTGGGGAAGGAGCAGTGTATCATTAAGGTGCTGTGGTCGAATCCTCCTTTCTTACAATTACTCTGTATCGTTCATTTATGTCTGGCATTTCTGGCATCTCGGTCTTTTCTAATCTCTTCAATATCCCCAACAACCTCTGAGCAAACTTGGTCCTTGCTCTCCCATGTCTGACTGTGCTTGCCTGAAATGAAGAGGCACCAAGAAAGCTACTATGCACTGCCAACACCCTGAGTTGATTCCAATACTCTCTTTGAACCCCCACTCCAAACTCAGGCTGATGGGGTGTGCATCCCTGCTTGTTTGTTCATCATGTCTTCCAGTCAGTCGACACCTCCCTCCTACCTATGCTGAGGATGGAAAGATGCTCTGCGGCTTTAAGCAAGGTAGATAACACACCCAATCTTGGACGAGTGCAAAGAAAATAAGCCTGTTTAAGTGCAAAGGAATTCGTTTTCCCCTTTGGGTTTCAAACTGGAAGCAACCAGCTCTCGCCGTCAGATCAACCTCCTTTTTTTCAGTCCAACACCTGAGGACAGTCTGCTTACTTCTCCTTTGTCACCTCCAGGACTGGGGTGGTTTGTCATGCCATGGAGTGAACTGGCACAAAAGTTGCTGCAGGAAAAGATGACTCCTGGCAACTGATCGCGGAGACATGTTGTGGGACCTTCCAATGGATATTCCAGTCTAAAAGATAAAATACTTTGACCAAACGTGGACTGTGATGGGTGCCGCTGTATCCCTCTGCTGATATGACTGTCAGATGCCCTTCCTGCCTCCCTTAGTTATGGATGACTTATCCTTGTGGTGTCTGAAAAGATCACGTAGAATGTTTGCTCCTTGTACGCATGTAACCTCTGCCAGCCCTGTCCCCTTATTTATGCAAGTAGCACCTTCCTCCCCCACCTCCCTTTCCCCAGTCTCTATGCTGTCCTAGCACCATTAACTCTGCATTAAACATATGGAATAATAAACTTAAAAGTTTCATTTTCATGTGTCTGGGTTTTTTTGACGTCTTTCCTGCGAGTCTCTGGTTTTTCCTCCAGTAAGTGCATGATGGGTCACACCACCACCACACAGATCCTGTGTGCAGCCTTCCTCTGCCTGTCATGAAGAGGACACAGGCAGAACTCTGACCAGCTTACCAGACACCTTCACGGAGATGAAACTCATCTTCTGTTCACACTCCAGCTCCAGTCATTTCTTCGGTGAGAAATGTAGTAACACAGTTTTCTATTCTTCAGCCAAGATTCAGCACATGCAATTAAGCATTCACCCAAGAATTTCTTAGTGCGATTGTTAGTGCTCTCCGGAACAGGAGCATGGGTTTTCTCGTTTTGGTTCCTCATCATCAGGTGGCAGATGACTTACCTTGAAAAAAAACCTCCTCCCATACACAAAATTGTGTGTTTCGGAAGCAGCCATTAGTTCCTCTGTAGAAACTCAACCCCTAGCCTCTTGCCTTCCACAAGCAAGAGCCTAAATACAAACACACACACGCAGAGACTATATACAAGAATGGAAATATACCCCTTCTTACTTGTTGAAGAAGACATCCTGGGTATAGACAGGTCCTGGGAGGCTATCTGAGGATGTTTGGAAAGAAAATGTACAGCAGATATCGGTCTGCTTCAGAACATCTCTCAAGACAACGGTAGCAAGGTAGGATCCCAGTTAACACAAAGACTCCCCAACAATTACAAATTGATTCCAAAGGGTTTCAATGCTGACTCGTGATTGATCCAGCCAGTTTGTGTTCACGAAACACTTTATGGGTGACTAGAGTAAGCTGGACGTCTAGGAACCATGGAACGTGTTCAAAGCTCTTTAAAACTCACAGCACTATTTGGACAAAGTTCTATATAGGGCCAAGAGCATCATCAGCAGAATGGCTTAATGGATCTAACAATGGTGATGCCAGCTAAAGAGCGCCATTCCAAATAGCACTGTGGCCATGCACTGGAGAGGAGAAGAAATCTCTACCCCAAATTACAGGCTGTGGGAAGAGTCCGGAAGGGAACTACCACACTGCTGAACAGGTCAGGAGCATGTGTGGGGAAGAAGGGAAGCCACGGTGGGGTTAGGGGTAGGAGAGCTGATCACAGGGGTGGGAGAGAGAGAAGGGACGTGGTGTGGACGAACAGAGGGGTGGGAAAAGAAAGATCTTAACCACACACCAATACCCTTCTCCAGCTCTTCAAAAAGCAAATCAAGAAAGCGAGTGGGATCTGCCTCAACCATTCTCCAGTCGGAGGGTATGTCTCCTCTCAACTGGGAGGGTCCTCACAACCAAGACAGGACTGAGAATGTCACTGGTAACAGAGGGGTTAACCGCTCCTCCTGCAGCCTAGCAGGAGCTGGCCCGGCATCCTTCCCTATCCTTTTAATCGTATCTGATACAGATGCAAGGCTGGGGAGGGGAGGCGGGTAGGGAACAAAGAAGCCATTTAAAAAAAAAAAAAAAAAAAAGACAAGAAAACGACCCCCGCGCTCCATGGCGGACGCCAAAACGATTGCACAAAGGCACCATTTCAGGGCTGAAATTTCACCGCACCAACGTGATTAAAGGATTCCATGGAGGGTGGGGGGAGAAGGCTGAAGGCCACAGTGCTGCAAATTAACCTTTTCTTGGTAAGGATGGCCTGGACCAGGAAGCGTTGGCGTTCCTTACAGTCAACCCCCCCTCCCACACCTGCAAGCATCTCCACATTCCCACTGACCTGTCACTTTGCCCAGGGACCCGTTCAGCTCTTGAATTACTGCCTCCAAAATCAGCCCCTCCTGTGCACACCAACAGAGGATGGCTAACTGGTGCTTTTACAGGGAGCAGTTAAGAGAATGACATTCACGGTTGGTTATATGAGCTGAGTTCCCAGGCAGGTGGATAGAAACTCCCTTGGGGACACGGATGCTCATGTGCAGGCACTGGCCACACATACAGCATGGAGAATGCACGTTTGGTATATAAAGCACAAGCTTTAACACAAACTAGCTGGAAATATTCTTCATAGATCAGTGTAAAGAGAAAAATTAACATAATGCAGAAACCATAGGTGAGGTGCACCTTTTCCCTTGTTCTCTTTAAAAAAATAAAACAAAAATTCCAAGAGCACTTTGTTAGTAAGATAATTGAAGAAGACTCAGTAAGTTCTTCTCGAGCTCAGAACTTCCTCATGCAGAGCAAGAACCTTAGAGCCCACAGACCAAGAAACGAAAACTAGGCAGGGGCTGGCTGGAAGCCTTTGCTTTGTAATGCATCCACCCAACTCTGGAGCATGTAACCTCCCTGCGCATCAGAAGCGACGGTGCGGGTACCTGTAGGGACAAATGACTATCAGGAAGATAACATGCTACAGAAAGGAACTCTAGGATTTAACTACTGTTGTGCCACCAGGGTATGTACCAGAGATGGCTGGAGAGCCCCCACACAGCCAGGGCCATCGCTCCCACCAGAGAATGGCTGTATGAGCAGCAAACGCAACGACCGGCAAGCGCCGAGTTGGTGGGACTGCGAGCGGCGACTGTGCTTCCGGCTGGGGCAGTGCCACTGAAAGGGGATCCCCACTTCTGATAAGCAGCAGGAGCAGGGAAACAATAGGTGATTTGATGAGAGCTGCTCTACGATACTCCTGAGAAGCCCCACAGCCAGCCCCGGCCAGAGGGGAAATTGGGGGTTTCCACAGCAACCTGCTCAGGGCACAAAGGCCCAACTGTCTAGGGGGAAGCAATGGAGGTGTCTCAGCACTCCTGTTTTAAGAAGGGACAGAGGTGGAGGGCTGGAGTCTTTCTGAAGCCAAAGTACCTGCAAAAGCATTTTCGTACAGCAGGAGTTTAGTTGGCTATCCATCCAATAATCAGGGAGGAGCAGTGCTGGAAGAGGAGGAGGAGGAAGTAGTTACTGCAGTCCTTAGCCTAGCTAAAAGGTAGGGCCTTCACAGGTGAAAAAAAGCTGCAAGAACAGCATGACACTTGGCTCCCTAATCTTACTAGTACAACCCATAATACTGAAAGAATCATGACCAAGCTAGTAGAGAGAAGTATGAAAGTCTCCTGGGCATGTAAGACTGAAATGAAACAGAAGGTGGGAAGAAAAAAAAAAAAAAAACAAACCACAGAACACATTTAACTTAAAATGGGGAAGTTTATAATTTATTTACACAAATATAAACAAAAAAATAGAGAGATCTCTGGAGAAGGGAAGAACCAAAACAACAGCTGGAGGCTGATCAGTCTGTGATAATTAACTCATCCACACCCCAGTCTTCATAGCTCCCATCTGGTAGGTAACGACGGATGATTATGGGGATCTTGCGTGCTCTGAAGGGAGGACAGAGAGATGAACAGAAATGCCAGAGCCTTCACTGTACCACTTCAGCAGGCAATGGGAACCGAGGTGCTTGGTGGCTTCAGTAAGCTCATCAGGTTTAACTGAGAGATCTGTGTAGCACCAGGGACTTGGTATTATACAGCAGAGGGAAGTCCCAACCACCTCCCCTCTTCAGAGGTGCAAAGCACTGAGCGCCCTTTGGTTGTTTTGAGTCCAAGACCTACAGAAGGTCAGCCCTCTGTTGCTACTGCAGGAATTAAGCCCTGTGATCTGGACCCACTGTGAGACAACACCATGCATCTAACATGGATATAGGGGAGAAAAAAAATGCATAAAATTTAAAAAAAAAAGATCAAGGGACTTGAACAAATTCACTTTTTGTTTGCTGGAAAATTTTTCCCCACAAGACACTACAGAAGTGGCAGAATTCTGAGAATGTTCACTACAAACTGATACTTACAGGGTATTTTGCACCCCGAGAACATCAGTTACGTGTTAAGGATACATGAAATAGGGACTATTCAGGTACCAAAGCCTGGTACAGCTGGGTTGGAGCACAGCATCTGCCAACAGTGCTTCCAATTAGAAAACAAGAAAATGCTGAAGACAATTTAACTTAATGGAAGTAGATTTAAGTCAGCAGAATGTAATCAGACAGCCTGGAATCTAACCAGGGCATCAGGTTTCAACCATATCAGACTTGAAAAGTAATACAACTTCTTTAATGATCACATTCAGGGCCATTGTTTTTCCAGTAGCAAAAAGTAGCTCCCTCATGCCAAGAATTGCAACTGAATTTTGGCACGGAACAGGATGCCGCTACACTCCGTCACACCCCGATTTACTTTCTAGAGCTCATGCTCACACAGTGACCAGAAGCAACTCAGACTGAGCTTGGAGATCTGACAGGAACGTGATAAAGGGAGCTGTAACAGATACAAAAATCCACAAGAGCAACTGCAATACACTGAGAAACTGGGGGAGCAGAGGGACAATTCAGTTCAAGAACAGGGACTTAATCAGTAACTGAGTCCAGTTGCTCTGCTTGAAGGATACCTGCGCGTGATCTAGGTCACTGATCATGCAGGCAAACTGGGGGCCAGCAGGGAGCTCTGCTGTGGAAAGGTGGGCCTGTAAGTGGTCATCCAAAAGCTGCCTCTGCTACAGTCACAAAGGATTTATTTCTCTCTCTGTAAGCAGGGGATGCGCCTGTGTGCAAGAGTGTGGGGAAAGAACATTCTTAACGAGGTCTCCACACCACCAGCCTGACCCTTTTTTTTCCCCCAGCACTTCATCTGAACACAGGCCTGTTCAGGTGGCTGCTTCAAATCGGTTCCATCCCAGGAATTAAACTGATTCCAGAAAGACGAGGACCTTGGGTTCTTATCATAGAAACAAAAAGCACTTGGACTCCAAAGTAAAATATGTCAGAGCACTCCTAACCATCGGTTCTTTGCACAGGCAACTAAGATGGGAGAGAGCAGCTGCAGAGAAGTCTCAAGGTAAAAAAGGGGAAAGCAAATGTACTGCTCATTGTTATCGAGGGAAGACAAGGTTGTCTTGGAATAAGCTGCTATTTAGCAGCTGGGATGAGGACAGGACTGCTGGCTTTCTGGAAATCAGTATGCACAATGCCAAAGTCTGGGACTTACTTGAGTTCTTTCATGGCAATCAGCAAGGGGTCTGTCTCTCCTTCCAACTCCACCATCACAGGGGCACACATCCTGGGACAGAACATCAACAATGATTTGAGCGAATGCACAGAGAGAGAAGAGGGACAGCGAAGCACGTGCCTGCCTATATCACCTGGACAACGGCCAGTAAAGTAGGAGGGTGGGACACCACCTTGGCAAATCTGATTTGCTCTCTTATGCACTTCAGGAAGAAAATTCCCCCAAGTGGCTACAGACTGAGCTTTTGCTTGAATGCTCCGTCTTGCCCCATCCCTCAGCCTCTGCTGGTGCTCAAGGGCTGGTCAGATCCACACGCTTCTAGCCACCCTCTGCTGTACTCAAACGTGAGGGAAGAGTGGTTCTAAAATTAATCCAGTTAAGACAGTGGAAACACAGTAAAACGAGCATGCCTCCTCAACTCCAGCCCATCTGTTACGTTCCAATTTGCTCACACCTTTCAGGCTCTGTTCGGGGAGGGAAGCGAGGGGCTGGATTTACAACGCACTCTACCTCTAGGAAGAGGAAATTAAGTGTTTTGCAGAGGCTCGTAACAGCAAAGCAAACACGGGTGACAACATCCACCCATCAGACAGCAGCAGCGAAGAAAGTTCACGTTATGCGTGGGTAAGGCCACTGGGGGCTGCTGCTGGCCTAGGTTCAGCACCGAAGGCAGAATTTGTAGGTGAAGCAAAACCAGGAGCCAGAGTGGTTTGGATTGGAGGCCTGGCATGGGCCCATCTCATCTCCCCCGTTTTTCTGGCCTTCCACCAGCTGAAAGAATGTGCACAAAATAGCTTCACAGAGTGAAGACTCTGCAAAGAATTGCTTGGCAAAGCGATGATTAAGGAAGGATCTGATCACCAGCTACGAGCTTCTAAGTGATGTAGAGGGGAGGCATTATTTTGAAGGTGGATATAACAGAGATGAAACTCAGAGATGCATTTTCAGAAAAACATTGCCACTGCCTAATAATTTTGCTCATTAGGCAGTTTTTCCAAAAGTGCAAGGCTTTTTGATATGCCTTATTAAAACAAGTCTAGACAGGTAAATGGAGGAAGTTGAGAGCAGCCAGCCTTAACAGCACTTAAAAATAGAATTATATATTATTACCTATTACAAATGAGGCCTTACTGTTCCAAATGCTTTAGAAAAAAAACTTACAGCTTTCCACAATGCAACTGCACTTAAACTAGATTTTAGGTTGGTTACTCCATTCCCAATTCCTACAGCTCTGTGGGATGAACTGAGGATGTTCTGGAGCATCCCTCCCCCCAACACTGGCTTTTGCAAGCCGGAGCTTTCCAGCCCACACCAGCTCCCACATGAAAGACAGAAGCCAGGATCAGCTTGTCACATTCCCTATTCATTTTGCCAGTAACAAAGGAAAGTTCACAGCAGCGGCTGAATGCCCCCCGCTCTAGGTAGAAGTACCACAGTCTCAGCCAAGGAGAGATACAGAGAGCTCACAGGCAACTAAGAGCTCCACGGTCCCGTGCTTCAGCGTTGACCAAGACGGTGATGTGAAAGCTCAGCAGTCACAGAAGGCATTACGAGAGATCCAGGAGTTTTTAAGAAAAGAGGAAAGCAGCTTTCACATGGAAGGGAGGAGAAGCTCTGGCAACGCTTGGGATGCAGAGCGAAATACTCACGCTATCTGGAGGGCACGAGTGCCCAGGACTCTGGCTCGCTCGTATTTGGTCATGTAGGGGGTAGTGATCCGCTTCTGGTTCGCCTGCTGCCGCTCTCCCGAGGGGAGGATCTCCACGTTCTCCTGTCCCTCCTGGGGAAAGCAGACCGGCACCGCAGCTCAGCTTCTCCCGCCGCGCCGGGAAGAGCCCCGCCGGCCCCCCCCCGCCCCGGCCCCGGCGGGGCACCCACCTCCTCCGCGTTCTCCAGGTCCTCCAGGCCCTCATCCTCCTCCACATCGTCGAAGTCGTCCCCGTCAAAGCTGCGGAAGGGACACGCGCGTCGCACACCGGGGCCGGGCCGCCTCGCCACGGGCCCCCCACCCCCCCCGAGTGCCCGTCGCACACCGGGGCCGAGCCGCCTCGCCACGGACCCCCCCCCGGTGCCCCTCGCCCTCCCCGGCTCTCACTTGTCCTCGTTGTCCGACATCTTGCCTCCCCGCCCGGCGGAAGTAGGACCCGCTTTTCCGGTCCTCGCCGTGACGTTAGCGGAAGTTCCCGAGCGGCGGCGGCGCCGTTGCCGTAGCGACGCGACGCCGCGCTGGTTCCACACCCCCCTTCCCCGTTTCCCCGTTAACCTGCCGGGGCGCCGCTCGTCCCTATGGAGACGTCAGCGCCCGCGGCGGCCCGGTACAGCCCGGGGACCCGGGAGTTGCTGAGAGGTAACGGCGTTACCCCTCGTTTGGGTTTGGGTTGCCAGTTTGGGGGGGGGGGGAGGGGGGGGGGGTAGGGTGCCCCTGCCCATCCCCAACCGCCGGAGGGGAAGGCGTGGGGCCCCCTGGGGCTGCCGTCTTCACCCGCGCGTCACGTTTTCCAGCGATGATGGAGGAGTCGAAGCTGTCGCGATTCCAGAGGCGATGCCTGATGGACTGCGTGAGGCGTGAGTGCCAGCCCTCTCCCTCCCTCCCTCCCTCCGCCCGCCGCGAAGAGCTTTGGCTGCGCACCCCGGGCCGGGGGGGCACCCGCCCCGCTGCCCACTCGGGTGGGCGAGGGCCCTCGGGAGGCGGCACGGCAGCTGCCGCCACGAGGGTCACCCCCGGGGAGCAAGACGCCGTGGTGTGACTTGAACCACACAGCCTGCATCCCGTCCCCCTGCGCACCAACGACCCCGGTGAGACAACCGTGGCCCCCCCCGGCGTCTTCGCTCGCCGGGGATCAACAGGCAGACCTTCTGCTGGCGGTAGCCCCGGGGGCCATCCATCCAGGCTCCCTTCTGTCTGACTTGCCCGTTATTTTTGGTTTGCTCTCCAGGCGGAGACGCCCTACCCCTCCAGTGCCACCCCGCATCCAGCAAAGAGCCGGCGCCTGCTTGCTCCCCGCCAGTTTGCCAGCCGAGCAGGCTTTCGGCTAAACCGCACCTCCGACCTGCCAAGGTCTGCCAGGCAGGAGATGCCTACACCCGAGAGAAATTCAAGCCACGGGCAAGGCGTGAGTCGGCAAACATCGTTAATAAATAAAGGAAGCCGCCTGGTCCCTCTCTTGCTCTTACGTCCATCCCCCCGCCTGCAATCTCAGTAGGGGCAGGGCGCGTCTTAATTGCTCTTCGTCCTCACGCTTGCTGTCTTCAGGGATGCTTTAAAAAGGGATCTCTGAGGGAACACCTGCTGGAAGTGCTCGCTGACTTCTGCCCGCTGGCAGGGTGGTCAGGACTCGCACAGTCCTTGCGTAAGAAGGGAGCACTGTGTAATTTTCTAGCTTATAAATGTGAATCAAGCCCCTGATGCCAGTTTGCTTGGCTCTGCCCGCCTGTGTGCTGCTTGCGTGGTTCGGTCTGGGGATGGGCTGTCGTTAACATAACGCTTCCTCTGGCAGCTTTAGCAGGGAAGCGGTGTGGCCTGTCTCTGAGGAAACAGGCCGATAATCATTTTTTTTCCCCTTGGAATTCACAGGGGATTTGGAAAAGGAGAAGCAAAGGCTCCAAAACATCTTAGCGACGGGGAAGGACGTGGTGGAGCACAAGGTGAAGCGGATGCTAGTTCAGACAGAGGAGGAGGAGATACCTGAGCCTGACCGGTTTGAAGAATGTACGTTTTTACGTCCCTGGAGAAAGGCAGGCGGGAAGCCTGGGAAGGCAGCTGCCTCCGGGGGCTGGGGGCGGCAGGCCGTGGTGCCGGTAACCTGAAGCCCGTTGCAGAAGGAGGCACAAAGCCCAGTTTCCAAGAGGAAGGACTTGCTGCTGCGACGCTGTGATCCAGCCGTCCTCGCAGAGCTTATGCTGCAGAGGTTTGCTGGCAGATTCAAGCTCCCTGGGCTGACCCCACAAAATGAACTCTGCTGGCAGGGGAATACACCAGGGACGCGCAGGATGACCTGGGCGGGAAGCCCAGGTACTGCGGGTCCTTTTCCCAGCCAGTGTAACTCAACATAGACTAGGACGCTTGCCAGCCTGACCGTGGTTTGGGCTCTGTTTTCTTTCACTCCCAGATCAGAGCAGTTACACTAGCGAAGTTTAAATGTCGAGCAGAATTTTAAGGAGTGAGGGACTTCGGCCTGCTGAGTATTCTAGGGTGGCAAGACCTTGCCTAATACCTCTCTGTGCTTGAATTGTTCAATGTGCGTGTACACGCCAGCCAGCCCTTCGCTAGCCAGGGTAGCACAAAGATGGCCAACGCTAGAATAATGCAGACAGGAGGAGGGATTTGGTCCCTGCTGCAGAAGAAGTCAGCACAGCTGGCCTCATGCGTGCTTTGTATCCTCTAAAACTTGTCACGAGCTGAGTGTTGTCCTTGACAGATCTGAAATGCCCATGTACGTTGTACTGTGGCAAGGTTTGGACCAGCTGGCTGCACCTCTGTGCTGCAAAGCGGCAGCTAATGTTCCGTGGCCGTGCCGCTCCTGGGAGCAGCGATGGTTGCGGTCACTGGGCGATCCATGTTAACTAGTGAACCTCAACAGCTTTAAGCAGGTTCTGTCTCCATCCACAGACTGGATAAATTGCCCACAAGCAACAGAGAACTGTCTGTACAACAAAAACTAGGAAGTTACCATCCCTGAAAGCTGGGGAGCGGTAAGAAGATGGGCAGGGGGGACATTTCCCATTGCGTAAGGGACTACTGGGGTATTTTGATGACATGTGCAAGATGAGTGTTACAGCAGGCATCACCCTTCCCCTGGCAGGAATGCTGTTCAAGCAGAGCTAGGAAGTTGCAGGGTTCAGATCCAGACAGAAACGTGTTTCCTTGCCTTTGGGCTGAATCCTGTTTCCATAGTGTTTTCTCTTACCCCTCAGTGGTGAATGAAGTTCAGGAGAGGAGGGAATTCCTGGCAGAGATGGAAGCTCTAGGACAGGGCAAGGAGTATCGAAGGATTGTCCTCACTGAAATCTCACAGGTACGCAAGGGCCCTGGTGGCACTGGCCACACAGTTCGTGGGGGGAATCCCTGGTGTCAGAGACCTTAAAGCACAGTCTCCTCCCATTCCTGAGGGGGGAAAGGAGCAGAGAACTGGGTGTCTCACTTCATGGCACACAAAAGGTGTGAAGTTGGGGAATGGGGAATAAAGGTTTTCAGGCTTTCTATCCAGCTCTGCACGTAACTTAATCGGGGAAACAGAACTTTTGTTCTTGGGATTGGCAAAAGAAGGAAAAAAGCGCTGCCAGTTTTCTCCCTGCTCAGCCCTTCCCCTTTGTACTCTGCAGAAAATGCGTGAGATGGAGATCATTGACAAGAAGAGAAGTGAGGAAATGAGAGAGATCATGACAAAAGACTTCACTGGTGGGAACAAATCCGATCCCCACGACTAGGCCAAGGGAAAAACACGAGTGCAATTTGTTCCCACCTCTTCTTCCCAGACTCTTGGCATCCGAGTCTCAAGGGCTGGTCTGTGCCTGTGCCCGAAGAGGGGGCAGCACCACCTGTTGCCTAAAGCCAGAAGGCAGGAGCAATTTGCACAGAACTCGCGACAGAAGAAAGCGGTTGTAAATTCCTACCCACGCGCTGGATCCCTTCTTGCTCAACAGTATTCAAGAGATGAAAACACACAGCAGTGGCTACCGAAACAGGACAAAGCAGAGCCTCCTTTTGCCTACACTATGCGTCAGAGTACAGCAAACCCACCGATAAAAATGTCACTCCTGTCCATCCACCCAGCGGGGGAGGTTCCTCACGACAGCACGTCGCGAACACGCGTGCTGCCACCCACATCTATGACCCACTCGTGTCCCCCCCCCCCACCCCGACTCTGGGAGGGGCTGTGCTGGCAGACGGCGGGGAGGAAGATGCAGCCGCTCGCCCTTGCGCAAGCACGAGCCTCCGGCATCGCTGCAGGTCAGCGTGATCGTGTGCATCAGCAAACTTCTCGGGCCACGGCTGAACGCTGAGCTCAGGCACCCAGGAACGCAGCTGCCGCCGGGCAGGGAGAGGGGATTTCAGCCCAGCGCATGCTGCTCCCTGCTGCGGGCTTCCTGTGTTTTTTTTTTTGGTTCCTGAAAGCATGGTATGCAGAATAAACAGCTCTCGGTCTCCCACAGAGCCTGGGAATGGCTGTTTGCTCACCTCGTATGTACCTCCACCTCCACCCTCCAGCAGGCTGAAGCATGATGCCCCGCTATTCCTGCATAAATCCCAGCATAAAGTCTGCCTCCTGATTTCCTTAAGATCCCATCATCTCCTTCCTAGCAATACTCTTGTCAGCCACTCCCCAAAGCCAGGCAGCATGTCCTGCCCCCGGGACAGCACGAGCGCGCAAAGGGATCAGAAACCTACACCGCAACTGGTTTTTAAATCCAACGTTCCTTTTATTTCTGTTCAGGTGAATGGAAGTTCTGGAGTTAGTACAGTATAATTGACAAATCAGAGTTCTGACCGGGCGCAGGGCCAAGGGGTGTCAGGCTGCAGCGATCCCGATGGCCTTTGGCAACAGTGACGTGACACCAGGCTCTAAAGATTTGTTTCTCCTCGGAGAAAAGATGCACTTTGGGACCTCCCCTCCCCTGCCACTGCTCCTCGTCAGCCTGCTGGGGTATGGCACAAGCAAGATGGTGTCACCAGCGTGGTGTTGAGCTTGCCACCTCCCAGCCACGGGGGCCACGCTGGGACTGAGGAGGGTTTTGGGTCTTTCAGGTTTTGGGAAATAAGGATCCCTTTCCAGAATGCTACGCCAGCCACCTCGCAAGGCACTGCTCCAAGAGCGTTTTGGCTAAATCCTGTTGGGTTTTTAGAAGGGACTGCAGCAGATTGCTTGGGGCTGGTTATGTCTAGTTTGCTAATGGGAAGGCATGACAAACAGCTGACCAACCAAACACCCATGAACTCTAATTCAGACTGATCCAACAATTCAATAAATAGCTCCTCACCTTGGAGGAGAAGGCAGGGAACAAAAATGGAAGGAAGAAGGGATGGTTGGAAGAACACCCCCCCCCTCCCACTCCCTTCTTCAATGTACACACACGCACACACACGACAAATAAAATAAGGGTTTTAAAAAGTTGTAGGATGGGTTTGAATCCATCTAGTAAAGGAGGTGTAAAAAATAACCAGCCAACCCCTGCACACTTTTGAAGTCTACACAGACGAAGCTGGGTGAAGGTCAGTTGTGCCCGCGCCTCTCTCCCCAGCCGCTCAAGGGTGGCACTGGTGAGCAGGGGCACAAGCTTGGTGCCCCTTGCTGGCACTGAGTCAGTCTTGAGCTTTTCTGCCCTTGCCTGGAAAAGGAACGTTCCTCCTCCCCCCGAAAGGCAGCAGAGCCAGCGGCGGTTAGCAGCAGGGGGGGGTAAGATGTCCTGAGTAGGGCGCGTGAGCTACGTCCTAGCAGCTGTACACTGTCCCCATGGGTCCTCTCAGCCCTGTAATGGAGCCCACCCAGCCCTGGCGCTCGAGGGAGGGGACAGCTCAAAATAAATAGGGCACCACTTATTTTTTTGGCTATGGGTCTAGAGCCTTGTGATGCGGGAGTGTTTTCGTAACATTTTAGTTTAGGCCAGTAAGACGCAAAGAATCCTGGTTCTAATGCCAGAGTTTTCTCCTGAAGTTAAAAATGGGACAGGAAAGGGACAGGAGTGGGTGGGCAGGGAGGCACAGGCAGGCCCAGTCCCCTCCTGGCAGAGTTTGGAGGCACGTGGAACTGTCACAGTTAGCGCGGGAGAAGGGACGGGGGGCAGTTAGTGCAAGTTTTCCCACAAACACCAAACTCCTTGGCTTGCTTCTCAGTTAATAACAAGAACACGCAGTGGGGTAACGTATCCGAAAAGCAAATCCATCTTCTCCCCGCCTCGTTAGCAAGGCTTCACAGAGGGGACGGTCATGCTCCTCCGCAGCCTTGGGAAGGGGAGAGCTTTGGTCAGACTCCCCCCACTCCGGGCAGAGGGCTGGCATCTCCCTGGGGTGGCAGCTCCGGTGCCTGGGGCGGGAGTGTGGGGAGAGGCGAGGGGAGCAGAGGGAGACAAGCCCCCGTTCCTGGCCGGCATCCCAGCCAGCTGCAGAGAGGCCAGGGCAGCCGGGCAGCACATCTCTCCCACTGCTGGTGTTCCCCTGCTCTAGCTTTTCTCCTTGGGTGACTTGCTCTTGGAGTCATGCTTGTTGCCCAGCATCTTAAGCACCTTCATGGGCTTGAATTTGCCTTTCTTCTTGCTCTCGGTCTCCGTCTCCTTGTGAAATTCTGGGGGTTACAAAGGGCGGTTGTTACCGGGGGATGCCGATGGTTGTACACACACACACACACACGTGCGCACGTGACGAAGAGGGGCAAGGGCGAGAGCCATGAATCAAAGCCCTCCACTGCACGCACGCTTCTTCCTGTCATAACCGGGGCGCGCAGCACAACCGTGCCCCAAACTGTAACCACCCTACAGGGAAGGCTGCAGACTCTACACAGAACAGATTCAATCTCTCCTTCCGCATGCAGTGCTGCCCCTCGCTGGGTCGGCGGTGAAGCTGTCACTCCAAAAATCTTCCCGACTGTTTCTTACCTTTCCTCTTAATCATGGCTTCCAACATTTTATCCTCCTCCTCCTCTCTGAAAGAAAGAGTGGGAAATAGGTCAGCGATTCAGCTCGGAAAACAGCTGCTGTATTGTTTAAGGCTAGAGAGCCTCCCACTTATAAGCCATGGAGAGGCAGATCCATCACTGTCTTGTGAGCACTTGCTACCAGCAGGATAAATCCCACGTGCTGCAAGTACTGCCCTGTCTTTCCCACACGAGGGATTCAAATAGACAAGAATCGGGAAGCCTGGAAAAGGCATCAGCAGCTGGGACATCTTGGGACATCCCCGTGAGCTGTTTGGGTGGTGCTGAGTCAGACAGGCTACACTTTTCCCTTCTCCCCCAGCCCACCCCGCTCCTCGCTCACCTCTGCCGGTCCTCGTCCAAGCAGTTCACAATGGCGTTCCTCTGCTCAATGATGGTCACCAGCTCCTGCATCAGCACCTTCTCCCTCCCTCGGTCCTCCTCAGTCCAGTCCTTCTCTATCCAGCCAAACCGTGAGGAAAAACAGGCAGTTAAATGGCTGAAGGAGCTCAAACTCAAAACTTTTGGGGCAGAGATCCCCTAGCATGATCCCCCTGCCGTGCTGCAGGGCCAGCTGGGCTAGCAGTGCTGTGGAGGGAGCCCTGTAGGTGACATCCCATGGGGACAAAAGGAGCACGTGCCTGCACAAGGCTGGGACATGGCAATGAGATGGGGCAGCAGTTCTGAAGCCAGCTGATCGCGCTGGCATCCCTAAAGATCCGAGCCCCACCAAGACAGAGTGGGGGGGATGAACCCCAGGGGGGAAAAGGGAGGTAACTGCACCCAGAGCGATGCTTTACCTGGTTTGTTGAGGAGGCAACGCAGTTCATACTCCACGTCCGACTGCCGCTGCTCCAGGTTCTGCTGCTTGAAGCTGCAAGGGAAGGGGGCACGTCCAGGAACCACTGCAAGGCTCCGGAGAGCCAGAACGTCATCCCAAGGTACAGGGTGAGCTTGGAAAGAACCTCTGAGATGCTGATCTTATCCCGTGCAGCCAAAGGGCCAGGGAGCCACGTGCCAGTGGGGACCAGCCCAGGCTGCTCAAGGCCTTCCTGGAGGAGATGCTGCAGGGGCTCTGGTGACTTGCAGTGGGTCAGTTCTGAGTATGTTTGGATACCTTTGTCTGCTTGCCCTCTTTCCCTCCCTTCTCCAGGCAAGGAGGCCCTGTCAGGCTCTCCCCTGGAAGCACAGTTTCAGCAGGCCAGAGACAGGGTTCCCCACGAGAGCGTCAGTGCCTCCCCACGCACCAGCACACACTTACATGTAGATGAGCTCCGATTCGTGGCGCACCAGCATGTGCTTCTCATGGATGAGTTTGAACCAGTCCACCAGCAGGCTGTCCTCAGGGCTGTCTGCCAAGCAAAGGGACAATTCAAAGCCATCCCCAGCTCTGCAGGATCCCATCACCCTGCAGCAAACTGGGCTCTGGCACCGGGCTAGATCCAACCTGAGCTCAGCCTGTTCCTGGGCCCCAGAGGGACCTCATCTCTTCTCCCACCTGTTTCCACTCTTGGGACATCTCCCTGTCCAGGATATGGCTGTGACCGTTCTCTGAGCCCAGTACAGCCCCTTGTGCTCTTCCAACCTCAGCATCAGCAGGGAGGAAGTCACCACTACCACCTCCTTGGCTGGACACGGTGCAGCCCTAGGGTCCATCCTGCCCCACACCCCCAGACAGCCCACCCTACATACCATTCTCAGCACTGCGAAGTTTTTCCTCCAAAGCCACCCCACGGTGCTCCAGCTGGTCCAGCTGGTGCTCGATGGCATCCATCTCCCCATAGATGTCTTCCTCGGGGATGTACTGATCTGTCTGCACCTGCCAAGCCGCAAGGCAGAGAATTCCATCACCATCAACCTCCCGTTTCCAGGGTTAACCCTAAGGCTGGTCAACACTAACCAGGGTGGGAAGACAACAGAACACTCCATCTAAGCATGGACCTGAAATGCCCACCCCACTCTGGAATAAAGGGAGACCATGGTGCTACCATCAACGGGGTCTAGCCCGGACACCATCCGCCACAGCCACCCGGGCAATCCCTACCCACACACGCATCAGCAGGGTGCACGTCCACAGCTATGGCCCTGGGGGGAAGAGTACAGAGCTGGCTTTTGTCCCCCTTGCCCCCAAAGGCTCCTTTACCTTGCGTTTGATCAGTGGGAAGCCGTGACCCGGTGCCGGAGGACGCACTGGCTTGGAGCCCTTGGGAGGTTTCTTTGCGGAGGGGGAGGCAGCAGGCGATGGCTTCCGGTTGAAGGGATTCTCTTTGCAGGAAGACTGAAGAGGTGGGACAAAAGGAAATATGTGAAGGCCCAGGAAAGGGAAGGGATAAAGCATTCCAACAGCTGAGACTGAGCAGACAGGGCAGCCCGAGGGTTTGTCCTGTCCCACACCTTCCTGTGTGATGAACACAGCACCGATCTCCACCAGCAGCCTACCCACGGGGCAAAAACCAGCTGCGCTGCTGTTTGCCATCAGCTCCCCAGCCTTTCTGTAACAAGCAGGCTGACCCGTTTTCCTTCTCGGTTCCCCTCCTATTTGTTCTGATCGCACAACGTCCTACCTCTTCTCTAGCACGTGGGGCAGGCAGAGTATGAACAGAGCCACCGCTTAAGGAGCACATGCCCCAGGCTTACTTTCAGGGAGTCACAGACCAAAACCTTCCGAAGGGGCGAGCCTGGACTCGTGACCCCCACTGTGACCGAGTGATGGATGGGGAAGAAAAGCCCCCTGAGCTGGATGGGAGGAAGGTCACCATCTCACCTTCAGCTGCGGCTTGGGTGAGGAGGGAGTCTTAGGGCTCCCAGCACCCCCATCGGAAGCCAAGAGGATGGGCGTAGGGCTGGCCCCAGCAGGAGGCTTGGGGGGCAGCCGGCTGGGGCTGGTCTTTAAGCTGCCGGTGGAGACGCTCCTGCCGGCGTGTGGGGTGCTGGGCTGCACCTCCCCACTGAAGCTGGCCAGCTCGCTGGAGGAGGAGAAGGAGGAGTTGGTGGAGAGGCTGGCTGGGGCAGCAGGACTTTCGCTGGAGGAGACGCTGGCCAGTGGAGTGTCAGTGCTAGAGGTCTTGGTGGCCGTCGGCGTGTGGACAGTGGGCTCGGAGGAGCTTTTG